ACAATATCACCATGCAAGGGCAAAGGAACCACATTTCGCATTTTTGCATATATAAATTATTTATAAACCATTTAAACCCATTTATCAAGCATTAATCAAGTTAAATCAATAACTCAATCATATTGCACCCAATGACCTTGAAATTTTTACCATAGCACACACATAGCATCAGTACCCTACCATAAACATTTCCTAGCAATTGGAGCACCACAACTTTAGATATGAATTTATTCCTAGAAAAACCTAATTAACATAGACAAACAAAAACAACAAAAAAACCATCTACTAACAACTTTAGATATGACTCTACTGTGTAGATCTACTCTCAAGGATTCCAAAAAGTCTTCATTTGCTATTTTACAATTTTTCTATGATTTATTATGATTTTTTAAAGTTTAGCCAAATAAATGCAATAAAGGAAAAACACATTTGCAACGAGGCCCCTGAACTTCTACGAAAATAAATTTCAGCGAAAAGGTCCTCCTAGGCACTATTCACATGAGTCATGATTCTATAGAAAACCCTTTCCCTTGCTTGAATTTGAGAGCGACGTCCTTCGCGTGATTTGAAGCAGAGGAGCCGCGGGAGCTCGCCGGTTTAGGAGACGGGGTTGCCGACGGTGGCCATGGCAGGGCCATGCGCCCATCTAGGGGCCCGTGCGTAGCCGTAGGGCTGTCCGACTTGAGGCTGTGACCGACCGAGGTGGCCTAGCCACGCGAGCGACGGGCCGCAGTGGCAAAGCGCCCTAGTGGCGGCGCGAGGGCGACAACGGCTGGCTGCTCTAGGCGCAGAGGAGCGGTGCGCCGGCTATGGTGCACGACGGTGAAAGCATCGCGGTGCAGGGAGAAACGGAGGTGGCTCAGAGAACGAGTGAGGATGGTGGTTGTGGAGCTCGGCCGGCGGCCATGGCGGCGCCCACGCTCTGCGCGCGCGTGGCACCAAGGCGAGGGAGGAGGAGAGTAGGGCGAGCAGAGAGGCGAGAGCAAGTGAGGGAGCCCGAGAGGGGGATCGGGCGTCCCCATCAAGGCAGCAGCGCCGACAGAGACAGGGCACACGGTGTCCATGCACGGCGGCCACATCGGCATTGCGTCGAGCATGTGGCGTGCGGTGGTGGCAAGGTGGGAGCCGAATTGGGCCGACTATGGGCCGATTCGGACATGTGCCCAAAAGCAAAGTTGAAGCCCACCTGATGATCTACAAAACTCATTAAGGGTGCCTAGCCATTAGAGCTCTCCATTAGCGGCCTATTAAGCCCAAAGTTAACACTATCAGCGACTAATCGAGGGTTAAGCCTTGCTCTGTTTGAGCTCGAATTACTTGGTCGAAACGTGGTCAAATTGATTCCAACTTTTTGTATGTCCTTCTCCAAGATATAAACTCCAACTTTTATTTTTGGCTCAACTTGAGTTGTTTAACAAAAATCCGAGAACACGAGATGCCAATCATCATTGCCATTGAAATTCCAGACTTAGCCAAATTTTTGAGATCCAAAACAGCACTGGGTTCAGTTTTGAGTCCTCAGTTTGACTAAGTTAGGGACCAAACTAGCTCTTGACCCTTGAACAAAGTTTGTTGTGCACCTCTTGCTCTGCAACTTTGGTTAAAGGATCATGGACTGGTTCAGCTTGGTTAGAGAGATACAAGGCTTCAAAGTAGGGTATACAAAACTAAAAACTGAGATTCAGTTAACTCCTGAAAACAGTTAGTCATTGCTGATTTTGAAACAAACTTCGAAGATCCAAATGAACTCCAAACTTGATGAGACTTGCTTCATTGTTTCCAGCACAAAGTGTACTTCAACTCATATTAAGGAATCTAGTTGAGTTACTATATGAATTTGAAGATAAAAATGTCACAACATGTGAACTCGCTGTTGTCAATCAGGGACATAATTCAGAGGGGCCAAAACAACACTGCATTCAAACTTGAGGCCACTGTTTGAGCCACTTAGGAGTTGAATTAGGGCTTGGTCCAAAAACAATGTTTGTTGTACTCCACTGAAACTTCAACTTTTATTTAAGGTCAAACTTCATAACTTGTTTCCATACTGTTATTTGACCTTGGTCAAAGCAGCATCACGATAAACCCTAAATTAGAGTTTTAGACTGATTGAGGCATTTTCTTGGCATTTGCTTAACATGAACCCTTCATGATTTTTATTCATGAGTTTAAGTAGAGTTGTTTGAGCAAGGTTTCAAGGTTTAGTCGACATCTCATGTTCCCATTCACCTGATGAAGCAATTCAAGAAAGGTTATAACTTATCATTTCATGTGACTTCCTGATTCCAAACTTCATGAAACTTTTCCACTGGTCAAGATGGATGGATGTTGATGTAATGTTCATGAAATAAGCATGTTTAACATTACTCATGCCAAATCTTAACCAGGGTTCACATGTAAGCAAATGTGTGTTGTCCAAGTTCAAGTTGGGACTCAATTTCATAGATTGGACCTCAACACCTTCATCATCACTTAAAAATTATGACTAGAGATCATGATCATTGCTTGACATAGCCTACTTAAGTCCAAATCCACTGCTTAACTTATGACTAACACCCGAGGTGTTACAGTTGGTTTTGAGTGTTGGTCCAGTGCGGATGTTCTCGGTGCTTGTAGCAGAGAATTCACACAGAGTCTTTTCAGCCATAGCTTCAGAAACTGGTGTTGAGCTTCCTCTTGATTGGTTTGATTGTGATTGATGGAATTTGTTGATGAATCAGAACCAATCCTACAATACCCCATATACGATATGAACAAAGACAAACAAGAGTAAGCCTACTAAAGCAGAGGTGTTATGATTTCATCAATAAGTATTTATTTGACCAATTCTCTATAGCCATGTGCCCCCTCCCCGGCAACGGCGCCAGAAATGCTTGTTGGCATTTCTTAGCATCACATTAATACTAAGTTGTCATCCCTAGCAATGATGCCAGAAATGCGTTATTGGTAATTAGTGAGAACACTTGTAAATTTATATATATATATTAAGTATTCGCAAGCACACAGATAATATACCATTGTAGCATTTCACCCAGGAGTATACCAAATATCGTTATTTATATTTTATCCATAGGGAGGAGTAATGGGGTTGGCATAGAGATATTGACAAATAGATATACTTATGATAAGATCATCACTCTCATGCTATTGTAGAGGTAAGTCAAGTGATAAATGAATGATAAGTGTAAGATATTGATGGTATTCCAAAGATAGAAATAGATACTCATAAATGTAGTATGGCTAGGCAGGAGATTAATTAAGAGCAAAAGATTCATGAGTCATTCCATATTTACTAAGTCTTTTGTACACCCAAATATATACACTCTTATCTATAGCATAATTAACTTTGGATCTATGCATAAGCATTATACCACAGCCAACAATTAGCATTGGACAACGATCGCTAAAACATAGTATTAACAACCAACCATTGGTCGCTACAAATTTTCAACGGAGTATCGGTCACTATTTTTACTTGTAGCGACCGATAATCAGTTGGTGTATATATTCCATAGTTTTCTCGGACAATCGATCGCTAAAAATGCATATTAATATCCAATAATTGGTCGCTATAGCCTGATTTTACTTTGGTGCGCTCGGCCCAGCCTACTCGTGCATAGTGAAATTTGCGTGGCCCACCTGTTACAGTGTCATCAAAACCCTATCTCTAGCACCACCCACCCCAACGCAGTTGACATCCCTCTCAATCTCACGGGCTTAACTCGACACCAGCGCATCGCTCACGAACTCAGCTCGCGGGTGCCATCCCTACCACGGCCGTCATGCTCGCCGTAGTAGCCACCGTCCCCACCGTCACGGCCGCCTGCCCGCTGTTACGGCCGCCGTCCCCGTTGCTGCGACCATCGTCCGGTCCGCCGTGCTCACCCAAGCCTCCGCAACCATCATGCCCACCCTGTCGTCACAGCCGCCGCCCTCTCTCCTGAGCGTACACGAGCAGGTACTCATTCTCTTCCCTTCCATCCCCGTTCTGCTCCCTTCCCTTTCATCCCTAAGTATGTACGGCTGCCCTGCTCTCCATCTCCAGTCTCAACTCTCAAATCAAGTCCCCGATGGCCCAATCCGATCCATCCTGCTGGCTGCTGTAGTGGTGACTGGTGAATCCATGAGTGCTAAATTGAATCGAGTTCTCTAGTTTTGAGCTTTGCTTGATTGCTTCCCAATTTTCGATTACTAAATGCTAAATGGAGTCAATCCAGGCGGCCATCATCATAAGGATGGTATAGCTGAAGAAATTATGTGATTGTTATCCCAATTTTTTCTAGTTCGTATGTTTTTCTAATTTTACATATAAAAAAACCTTGGTGAATTTTTAGGTGAAATGGTTAAACAGGAACCAAGCTTTCATCAATTATATTATGACTTATATGGGACTTGTGTACTTATTGGTATATACCAGCCAAGTCTAGATTGAGCTACACCAGATTGATTGCTTCTACCTGCTTGCATTGCTGCAGATAGAAGTATCGTAGTATTGAACTGTGCTGGACATGACCCGTCTAATATATGCACCGGTCTGACCTCATGATATTGCAATTGGAGCTGCTCCACATATAGTTGGATGCCTTGGGAAGGCATTTGAACGTGCTTAGCAGCTCTACTAGTTTGTATCGGTAGGTTTCTGTTTCCCTAGCTGTTGCTCTCTTTTTTCCATGTTGTGGAAGTACGCGACTATTTCAGTGCTTATGATATGTTTTTTATTTCATATTGAAATCTGGTTGATATCTTGCGTGAAGGTTGAACATGGATAAAACAAGGATTGATGATAATGTTAGGTAAAAACTAATAACTTTACAAATATTGATGCCATGCACATAGGGAAAAATGTGAGTGAAAGCTTAATTAACACATTCCTGCGCACCACTGAAAAGTCCAAGGACAATTTGAATTCTCGTCTGGACCATTGAGGTCTTGGTATTAGAAGTGATCTTCACCCTGTTGAAGTTGATGACCAATTTTATTTACCACCTGCACCATACACAATGAGTGCCGATGAGAAGAAATTATTTTGTGAAATACTAAAAGGGGTCAAGTTTTCTGATGGTTATGCATCTAATATACGACACAACATCCATGTTAATGAGAAAAAGATATTTGGGCTAAAGAGTCATGAGTGCCACATTATTCTTCAACACTTGTTGCCCCTTGCTGTGAGAAAAATATTGCCTGAAATGGTCAGTGCAAGAGTGATTCGTATAAGTAATTTTTTCAAGAAGCTTTGCTCACCTGTCATTCGAAGAAGTGATATGGACAGTCTAGAGGCTGATATAGCTGAAACCTTGAGCCTTCTTGAGGCTATATTCCCTCCATCATTTTTCGATATTATGGTAGACTTGATGGTACATCTTCCTGCTCAATGTACTACAGTATGTGTAATGGTTGTTATCTACTACAAAACCATACTGTTTTAAAACTTCAATGACCTATATTGAAACTGATTATGCATTTTTCCATGGAAAAATCAGGCTAAATATGATATTCATGCTGATGGTATGTATTGGGTCTTAAATACTGCTGGAAAGAAATGGAAGGAACTTAAGGCAAATTTGAAGAAGCACTATTTTGATGATAAATTAATAGAAGAGCAACTAAAGAAAAAGTATGGTGATAGAGTTAATGATAGTGATTGGGAGTATCTCATAACTCATTGGATGTCTCCTGGCTTTGGAGTAAGGCTTGTTGATATTAAAATCTTATTATATGCTTGTGGAACTTGTATACATCTATTTGTGCATAATCTAATAATTTCTCACTTAGGTTCGCACGGAAATTGCCAAAGCGAATCATGCTAAGTTGGCCATACATCATACATCAGGCACCAAGAACTTTGCTCGTTCTAGACATGAATTGGTATAGTTATCTTTTTCACTTTCTTACATAGGTATTTTTCTGTAGATTATTTATACTGAAAGCTAAAACATTTGTAGGGTCATGAGCTAGGACACCCCCCTCGACGAGATGAAGTATATATCAAAACTCATACAAAAAAGTGGTGTTCCAACACAGAATGCAGAACCAATTATTGTATTTTTGCTGAATTGTGGTAGTTAATTACACCTCAAATATTAGCAGCTCAAAATTAAAATCAGATAACTGTTAGTATACTAAGATTTTCATTGCATAGTTTATTACACCTCAAACATGTGAACCTGTCACTGCTGGTAGAATTGCAATGGTAGAATCAGGAGTAGGATCAGTCAAACGGTTCCCTAGTGCTTTAGTGATTCAGGCTATTCTTGCGAGCGTCACTCAAGTCAGAGTAGATGGGCTGTCTTGTCTAGCTTTCCTGTCCTTGCTTCGAATTGCTTAGCTGCTGCTTCAGTTGCTATACTTCCTTGGTCTGGGTTTGTCAGTTATAGGTTGCATGATCATGTCGACTGCGATTGTGCACAATTTGCACACGAAATTACTTGTTGTGCGTTGAATTTTGTACTTGTTCTTGCAGTCTTGCTTGAAAGTGAACTGGGTACAAAATCACAAATAGGGAGTACATAGTACAGGGTACAAAACTTGTTTCATTTTAGCACGTGTGCGCCATCAGTAAACTTTTCTCTTGCAACCACATCGCAAAGTGCATGTGCTAACGGATTGGTGGAGTGAGTGCACATTTAAATCTTCAGTTGTTCCCTTTTCGATGAATATGCCTATTGACAGTTGATCTTACCTTTTCATGACAATGTAAGTGTGTGAAATAATGTCATTATCTAAAGATTTCTGTCCTTCTATGAATATAATAAGCATTAGTAACATCAGTCTCATTGTCTATATATTTCAGTTGCTACTGTATGTCCTTACCTTCTTGATGTTTCAGGTTGTGGGAGGCCTTGGAGGTGTACATGATGCTGTCACCAGGAAGCCAACATATGACATTTTGCTTTTGATGGAGATGAGGCATTTTGTAGTGAATCTAGTTATATTGTGCAAGCAAACATATGACTTGTGCCTGCCATTTGACCTAGCTAGGTTGTATGTGTGTTTTTCCTTTTGTAATAATGACCTGTCATGGATCAAGATGATAGAACTTGATGTATTGCTAAATGTTGGCTTAAATGAAGACTTGAGAGATACCTTTATCAGATAATGTGCTTGATGAGTGTTGTGGGCAGCTATGTTTATTAGGTTTGAAATTTGGTTAATATGAAATTAGTAATATTATACATAACTATGCCAGTTCCTAGCGACTGATTATTGGTTGCTAAAAAATTTGATATCCTCAAACCATTGGTCGCTAAAACATGTAACAGATCATCGGTCGCTATAAATATTTGTGTCCAACGATCGGTTGCTATAAACCCTGTCGGTCGCTATAGACTTATAGCGACGCCACTTACAGTGACTTATACATCGGTCGCTATAAAGGGATCGGTCGCTATAACGACTTATAGCTACCGATTTGGAGTCGTTACAGATTGGCTGTGGTATAGTGAACGAATATTACTAAGGAAGATCAAGATCAGAGCTTGACTCCCTTCAAAACCGGGTTCTACTTGCTCTACAAACGGGGAGTGGACTACAAAGGACTCAACTGGAGTGTCACATCTGCGATCTACCACATGACCCAGAGTGTAAAATGCATCCGCAGGTAAACAATATTTAAGCACCACGCTTACATAATGTCGACCACTTAACCCACTCGAGTATTGAGCTAAGCGCTTTGTGAACATATGCATATATTCATAATCAATCATAACTAAGCATACTACTAGAGCAAACTAGGAACATAATAATAGCAACATAATATTGAAGTAGCACAAAGTCATAAATAAAGAGTGATACAATGGATATATCGGTCTCTAGACGGCGAATCCGAAATCCTGAGCAATAGCCCAAACTCTACTTGAACCTTGCTAGCTAGCCTATACTAGAACTTTGAAGAATTGGAGCTCTATTTTCTTCTCTCTGGAAACCTATTTTCTGATCTGAACTTGACTTATGATGATCTCTCTAAGGGAGGGGGAGGTGTTGGTATATATAGGCCGGAGCGTCAATTCTGGACCTTCGGATCAAACCAACTTGAATAAACGGCGTAGATGCAATCCTTAAGGTGGTGGAGAATTGATATATGAAGCGGCCAGCCCCACCTATCATCTGCTATAGGTCTGCTTCTGTGCCGTGGCTTCTGGTGTCCTCTAGAACCTTTTGGAGTTGTTTCCGCTGCGGATAAGCATGATTTTATTTGACGTTTTGATCCCCCTTTACGGTTTTCTGGATAAACCCAGTTGAAAACACAGATTCACCAAAACTCGTGGAAATTGTCAGTTTAAACCCCTAAGTCTATGTTGGTGATCATTTTCATGCATGATTTCAAGTTATGTTGGTGGTTTATGATGGATGGTAACTACCATCAACAATGTCACTGGAGTCAGGACGGATGAGCACCTTCTCATAGTGCCCTGAAGGAAGCTGGAGCCCGGTGACCTCGTACTTCACCCTCTTAGGGTTAGGCGTGGTCTGGGTGCTCCCACTGGCGATGAGAGAGAGGTTGTCCTCTGACTTGTCAGAGATCACCAGAGCGCGATGCTCATTGGCCGGAGTGGGCGTAGGTAGATCCAGTGCGGGGTAGAGGCGCACCGCGATCGGCTTCTTCAGGGTGATGTCCCTTGTAGTTGGACGAGAGGGCTGGTCGTTGTGGAGCTTCTTGCTAGAGAAGTCCAGCGGTAGGGGGTGCTGCCTAGGTAGAGGGGAGTTGAGGGGGCACTTCCCGAGGGCTGGCCAGCGGTCTATGGCACCGGGCGGTGCCGTGGGTGGCCCCCTTGGGCTCCCAGCAGGCGAAGTCCCCAGCAGACTCTTCGGCGGTGTGGCATAGGCCAATGGCAGCACCTATAGGACCCCCTCTCGATCGATTTCATCGATCAGAGCACGAGCGGCTTGACGAGCGGCGAGTCTACTCCTAGGAGAGTTGCTACCCATGGCGGAAAACTAGAGCGACTACGCCTTGTAGGTGGAGGAATGGAAGGAATGCTTGTGGAGATGGAAGGGATGGTTGGTGGTATATATAGGGAGGTAGGTAGATGAGATGAGGCTTCCCATGATTATCCCATGCTTTAGATCGCAAGAATCACTTGGAATGATAAACACGTGGGCATAATGAAGGATATGCCTAGGATAATCATCTCCTAGCACGTGGGATAATAGGGGATGAACCAGGACATCGGGCGGCGCCACTAGGGCACCGAGCGGTAGCCCATGGCGCTAGGCGGCGTGGCCCAAGTGGCCCTTGCCTACCCCTTGCCTTGGTCATGCTATTTGGGGGTTCAGTATCCCTAATACACCTTTATTTTGCGTTAGGATGGGTCTTATACCCCTTTTTATACAAATAGACTATTTCACCCACTCCAAAACAAGAGAAAACGCATAGGTGTTAGAAAGTTATAAACTCCACTATGTCTAGCTCCTTTAATTCTTGCATGTTAGGCTCATAATAAAGTTTTAAGTGTTGACCATTCACTTTAAAAATGTTACCTTCATCGCTTTCTAGTGTGATGGCTCCATGGGGTGAAGTAGCAACTACTTTAAACGGCCCATCCCACTTACTCCGTAATTTACCATGATCAAAGAGTCATACTCTGGAGTTAAAGAGTAATACCTTGTCTCCAGGGTTGAACTCTTTTTTATTAATCCTCTTATCATGCTATCATTTAATTCTCTCTTTATAGAGTTTGGCACTATGATAAGCCTTTTCTCTCCACTCTTCTAGTTTAGAAATTTGCATTTTCTGATTTTGCCCTGCTAAATCTAGGTCCATATTCCACTTCTTAATGGCCCAGTGAGCTTTGAATTCTAGTTCTATGGGGATATGGCAGGTCTTCCCGTATACTAGTTGGTATGGAGACATACCAATGGGTGTTTTATAGGTAGTTCTATAAGCCCAAAGTGCTTCTGGCAACTTATTTTTCCACCCTGTCCCCCATTTCTTCTATAGTTTTCTATAGATTGTTCTTAATTTTCTTATTAGAGGTTTCTGCTTGCCCACTAGTCTGAGGATGGTAAGGCATGGCCATGCTATGCTGGATTCCTTGGTCAGTCAAATAGTGTCTGAAGTTTTTATCAATGAAATGAGGACCTCCATCGCTAATGACCATCCTAGGGACACCAAAACGGGGAAAGATAGTTTCTTGAAACATCTTTTTAGCATGTTTTGCATCAGCTTCTTGGCATGGTATATCTTCTACCCATTTTGAGACATAGTCAATGGCCACTAAAATGTATTCGGAATCATAAGACTTCGGGAAGGGTCCCATGAAGTCTATTCCCCAAACATCAAATAACTCCACTTGTTGGTTATTAGTAAGTGGCATAGCATCTCGAGTGTTTGTGTTTCCATGTTTTTGGCATCTAGTACACGGTCTAATAAAGTCTTTTGTGTCTTCATACATGGAGGGCCAAAAGAAACCACTTTGCCAAAATTTTGCATGTGTTCTAAAAGCTCCATAATGGCCACCATATTCGGCAGAGTGACATCTTTCTATGATTTTAGTGGCTTCTTCTAAAGGGACACACTTTCTAAGAAGTCTGTCTGAACAGACTATAGAGATAAGGGTTGTCCCACAAGTGGGTTCTACTTTGGTATAGCAACTTTTTCCTATTTTCACCCGGCGGGACATAGCTGGTAACTATGAAACTAACAATGTTCGCATACCAAGGATTTGTGTGTGTGACTTTTAGAAGAGTATCATCACGCAAGAAATTATTTATAGGAAGGTTGTCATTATCATGGAATTGCAAGCGTGAGAGGTGATCTGCTACAGAATTTTCTACTGCCTTTTTATCTTTTATTTCTAAGTCAAACTCTTGGAGTAATAAAATCCATCGGAACAAACAGGGTTTAGCATCTTTCTTTGCAAGGAGGTATTTCA